TATGAAAAAACCTGACAAAAATCTGAGAAAACACTGAAAATCAATAAAAATTCGAATTTCGCGCGCTTTTACCAGTAGCTGGCCTAGAAAACTCACACCTGGCCGCTAGGCCACCGGTTCCCACTTTGACTTTTCGATGCCGTTTTTCTCAATGAAGGCATTTTTTTTGAATTATTTTGTTTTTATGGGAATCTACATGGATTTCTGCACAAAATAAAGCAATAAAATGTTTCACCGCACACCACCTTTAATTGCTCTATTATTGCTCATACAGAATGACGTCATTTTCATCTTGTCGTATAATTCTAAAAATCCCAAAAATCATACTTTTCCAGTCCCTTGTGATTTTTGAAACGTAGAAATTTGAATTCCCCATCAAAAACTACCCCAAAAACCATTAAAAAAACAGAAATTCCCCTGGTGGCCGAGTTTTGGAATTTTCTAGACCACCATTTGCAAAATTAGGCCATGAGCCGTTTTTTGTGGTTTCTAAGCTAGTTTTTTGCGGGAAATTTGAATTTTGTATTTGTTATGTGCTAAATTTGACTGGAACCCTGAGTTTTTTGTTTAAATTTCTAGACATTTAAAATTTTTGTTTTCTAAAAAGTATGAAACTTCGAAGTTCCTGAAAAGTGGTTCAAAATGCTTAAATTAGCCTGAAAATTTCAGAGAATACTAAACAAAAATAGAGCTTCAATTTTGTAGTTGACAACTTTATTGGAAAAATTTATTTGTACAAAAAAGTACGGTAAGCAGTCTAATAGAACGCCACTCGAATAGTCAAATTTGAGCCCATGTATCTCATTTTCTGTGAAAGATATCAAAAAGTGGTCAACTGATAAAATGTTGCTGATATCATGATAAACATTTTATCAGTTGACAACTTTTCAATATCTTTTGAAGGAAGTGAGATGTGTAGGCTCAAAGTGGACGGTGCGGGTAGCGTTCTATTTGTATTTGGATCGTTGTAAGCTTCATTTGGAATTTTGAGCAAAATTCAAAACAAAATAGTATTTTCTGTCTTGTAGAGTAGTTTTTGTTGATAAATTCGAATTTTGTGGTCAGAATTCTTCAAAATCAATATAATTTTTCAGATCCGTGTCTATGTTAAAGGGTACCATCATTGATTGTTTGGGGCCAGAGCGTTCAGCCGCCGTGGCATCAAGAGGAAAATGGTGTGGATGTCTATCAGGAACGAGCCATGGAAATCATGGTAAGTTTTAAAATTTTTTTTCCAAAAACTCGTTTCAAATATCGTGATCTTCCAGGCTTCCCGCAATGGTGCTGTTCCAATCAAAAGAAGTGTATTGAATCCCGAGTACAGCCCAGACATGATGTCGAATTCTGTATTTTTATATAAAGTTTTGGATATAAATTCTTTTTTGAAATGTAAATTTGTATTTGGCTCGTTGTAAGCGTCACAATGAGCCCAAACACGGGTTTGTAGATTCTGAAAGAGTACTGTAGAAAAAAGTTGCTAGGACAGAGAACGTATGAGGTGTGAAGAGGTTTCTCTCTCACTCTCTTGCTGTAGACTTTCTAATCTCCCACTGTTTGTCCCAGATACTATAAGGTAAAGAGTATCGGACGACGTGAAGAGACTCCTTGCCTCCTAGAAAAGTGCGAAAAGGGGGCGGAGCTTGTCAAGGTGTCCCCCTGGTTGTCCCCTATATAAGGAGTTCCGCAGATCTTCATTATTCTATAGTACACCCCTCCCAAATGGCTGGTTATCGATTTTCCATCGGCCTAACCCCTCAAAACGCTTCAAAATGATCCGGTAACTGAATCTGGACCTTTTGAAGTGTGTCTTTTATATTTTTCTAAAAATTCTTATTTCAAAATGGCTGCTTTCTGGATAGCCTTACCTCAAATACTGATTTTTCTAGAATTAATCTATTTGTTTTTGCTATTCTTCAAGTTTAAGAAGGTGAGCTTATAATCAAAATCCGACTTTCTGAGTCATAAATCATCTTTGAAACACAAAAATTCAAATTCACCAACAAAAACTACCCCAGAAACCCAGAGAAAACTGAAAAATCCAAGGTGGCCGAGTTTTTGAATTTTCTAGGCCACCATTTGGAAAGTTAGGCCATGAGCCTTTTCAAGTGGTTTCTAGGATAATTTTTCGCGGGAAATTCAAATTTTTTAGTAATTTTGGTGTATCGTGTCATTTTTGCAATGAACTCGAATATCGGCTTAAATTTCCCAACGTTGGCCAAAATGTGCCCAAATTGCCCAATACTCCCAATTTGCATAGAAATATGTAAAAAGTTTTGCAGGAAACCATGGCGAATGTTCCCTACATTCTTCATACAAAGCGGATCCAGCTAAAATTGTCAGAGTGAAAAAGTAAGTTCCTTCGAATCAAAAAATTGAAAAAAACTTATTTAATTCTAGATGTGACAATGAGGATTGTGATTGCAGTACAAATTCTTGTGACAATTATAGTATGTCCAAAGTCGTGTGCTCTGAAAAAGGCTGGATGTAAAAACCAAGTCTTCGAAGAATACCGACAACTACGAGACGAACGCTTTTTTTGCCAAATCCTCTGGAGACAAAGGAACTGGAAAAAATGAGTTCATCATTCCTTACAACGGAGAAATCATCATTTCTATTCCTGAGCTTCAAATTCGAATACAAGGAAAATGGTGAAACACATACGTACCCGTTCAAAACTGGTCGTAGGTTTTACATCGATCCTACAAAATGTGGAAACTCCGCTCGATTTGCCAATCATAGTTGTGAGCCAAACATGATTGCGAAGAAATGGATGGCCAACAATCGAAAGGAAGGATTCAAAGCGATTGGGTTCGTCGCTAACAAGGATATCAGAAAGGGTGCTGAACTCACCATCAACTACGGTATGGTATTATAATCGGTATGTTGTTTTTTCTTTGTCTTATTGCCGCGTCTCTGGCGCTTCAGACAGTTGGCTGGTGCGCCTTCGGCGTCGCTTCGCTTCTTACTTGTCTTAAAGGTCACAATTTTATATGTAATTTTCAAGGTATTTAAAACTATTAGAAAAGTTAGGAGCGTAGCGACGAATCAGTAAAAAACTGAGTTAAATCGCGCCGCAAGTGCGCCAGCCAGCTGTTCAATGGCTGGTTTATTATAAGAATGGTTACAGTAACGTTTTTTTCAGGGAAACGAGTCAGAGATGTCTCCGTGGGAAGAGAAAATGCAAAGGATGGATTGGCATGAGATGAATGTCATCGGCTTCTTCTTCTAATTGAAAATGAATATTTTGTATTTTATAAACGTATTTTTTCTGTTCTCTTTTAAAGCTTCCTTGTCATTTCACATTTCCAGATGAGCTACGCGATTTTCGGACTGAAACCTTGATTTTTAACTTTTGAAACACAAAAATTTGCATTTCCCATCAAAAACTACCCCAGAAACCAAGAAAAACGGGAAATTCCATGATGGCCGAGTTTTGGAATTTTCTAGGCCATTAGCTGTTTTTGATGGTTTCCACGCCAGTTTTCAGTAGACTTTTATGGCAAGGTAAAGATGGTACAGTACATCAGGCAATTAATTGGGTCATAAATCTAGTAGGTCGAGGGGGTTACTGTAGAAAAAAATGCAGGCGAAAAATGAGCTGGTTTTTGGGTTTATAGATTTCTGAGGATTACTGTAGACGAAAAATGAATGTGAAGCTTACTGAAAATTGGTTTTTGCTGACATTGATAAGCAATTATTTTTCATCCGAGAATCACTTCATTTTGTAACATTTTCGATGTTTTGCTGCATTTGTTCAAAAAATCGTCAACTACAAAATTGAACGTCGACAGGACACTTTCTTTTGAATTTGCTGGTCTAGGTTTACATTTTCTCGATTAGCCACATATTTTATTAGATTTCATTTGTCGCTAGCTTCAAAATGAGCCCGAACATGACTAGGCTCCGCCCACTTTGAATTTTCCGACGCGTCGCGGTCGTGCGTCGCGTGTTCAACGAAAAAATTGAAAGTGGGCGGAGCCTAGTCGTGTTTGGGGTCATTTTGAAGCTAGTCACAAGACAAATCAATTGATATTATTTTCAAATCTTGAAATTGAAAACCTAGGCCAGGAGGTTCAAAAGTTAGGCCACCAAAGAAAAATTATCACTCTCTCAGTTTCGTGTACTATTTTGGAGGAGCATAAAGCTAGCTACCCGGGGGAAAGTGAATCTCTCCTACCTCTTGTTGCCCCTCCTTTCCTATTATTACCTGGAAAATTGTCAGTACCGTGTGGCTTATCTGATAGTGTAAAAGGACGAAGAAACCATTCAAATGAAAACAGAAAAAAGAATAGAAACTAAAAAATATTTATTTTCAATCAGAAAAGGATGACGTCAAGATATAGACACAATAATAAAGGATACCGTGGTAATGTAACGAGTCGCGCTCGAAGAAGCAGAAATTGAGGTACATTCCAACAAAGAGGCCAACCAGCGGAGCGAAGACATCAGTCTGGAAATGAAGTTTCGAAGACTGTTTCTTTCGAATTTTGGGAACTAGTTGCGGTCGAGTCTAACTCAGAATTTGTCTTCGACCTGAACATCGACGCCTATCCTAAAGGTGCACTTTAAACTCAATTATCTCAGTTCCTCCGAGAGATATCAAAAAGTTGTCCACTGACAAATTATTTATCATGATATCACCAATATTTTATCCGTTGACAATTTTTTGATACCTCTTACAGTAACCGAGATAATTGAGCTCAAACTTGACGGTTTTTGAGGGAATTTCTTTTAGAGGAAATTTAGGGTAAGTTCCGGTGAAAGATTCCAGATAATTCATTTGAAAATAGGGAAGAAAATTAAAATCCGGATTTTCAGTAAAAACGCATTGGATTCTAAATCTACTCAAGAAACTCAGTATTTTGAATATTCAAATGTTGGCTCACCTTTTTTAACTTGAAGAATAGCAGAAAAAAAAAAGAAATTTCTAGAAAAATCAGTATTCAAAGCCAAGCTATTCGGGAAGCGGTCATTTTGAAACTAGAATATTCAGAAAACTAGAAAGAATACACACTTCAAAAGGTCCAGATTCAGTTACCGGACCATTTTGAAGCGTTTTTAGGGGGTTTAGGCCGGTGGAAAATCAATAACCAGCCATTTGGGAGGGGGAGTAGCGTAGAATAAAGAATAGTAACTATCTGGGGGAAGGTGGGGCAGCGAGAGAGTGGCGGAGAAACCTATTCACATCTCATGCTCTCTCACTGACCCCCCTGTTGCTAGCTGTATGTTCCTCCGAAATAGTACACAAAAATGAGAGAGTCAAAAAGGTGTGACCTCAGGAGAAACGAGCCATCTGGGGTGTATGATAGAAAAAAGATACACCAATGACCCGCCAGATACGAGTGACGTCATCCTATACGAACAATAATAGGGCAACCAATTCCTTTTTCTACAGTAATCCTTCAAGATCTGAAAACCCAAAACCAGTCAAATCGCTCATTTTTTGTCGGAAATTTTTCTACAGTAATCTCCTCGACCCACTCATTTTATGACCCAATTAACCTCCAAGTGTGTATCTCTTAAGATTCCTTCTTCACCCTGTCCTACTGTAGACTTTCTAATCTCCCACTGTCTGTCCCAGATACTATAAGGTAAAGAGTATCGGACGACGTGAAGAGACTCCTTGCCTCCTAGAAAAGTGCGAAAAGGGGGCGGAGCTTGTCAAGGTGTCCCCCTGGTTGTCCCCTATATAAGGAGTCCTATTCCGCAGATCTTCATTATTCTATAGTACTCCCCTCCCAAATGGCTGGTTATTGATTTTCCATCGGCCTAAACCCTTCAAAATGGTCCGGTAACTGAATCTGGACCTTTTGAAGTGTAATCTCTATTTTTCTGAATATTTCTAGTATTCCTAGCGACTATCGTCAAATAAACGGCAGACTTCTATGGTCAGATTTGATTTTTTGCTACAAATTTTCAATGGGTTGACGCTGAATGATTCCAAATTCCTTATTCACAACGATGGACCAAGATTGATCAAATGCTTCTGGTGTCCAATTACGGTTGAAATGGCTTCACTCAAGTGCTTTTTTCTCAAATCCTCTGGAGACAAAGGAACTGGACAAAATGAGTTCATCATTCCATACCACGGAGAAACCATTTCCAATTCTAAGCTACAAATTCGAATACAAGGAAAATGGTGAAACACATACGTACCCGTTCAAAACTGGTCGTAGGTTTTACATCGATCCTACAAAATGTGGAAACTCCGCTCGATTTGCCAATCATAGTTGTGAGCCAAACATGATTGCGAAGAAATGGATGGCCAACAATCGAAAGGAAGGATTCAAAGCGATTGGGTTCGTCGCTAACAAGGATATCAGAAAGGGTGCTGAACTCACCATCAACTACGGTATGGTATTATAATCGGTATGTTGTTTTTTCTTTGTCTTATTGCCGCGTCTCTGGCGCTTCAGACAGTTGGCTGGTGCGCCTTCGGCGTCGCTTCGCTTCTTACTTGTCTTAAAGGTCACAAGTTTATATGTAATTTTCAAGGTATTTAAAACTATGAGAAAAGTTAGGAGCGTAGCGACGAATCAGTAAAAAACTGAGTTAAATCGCGCCGCAAGTGCGCCAGCCAGCTGTTCAATGGCTGGTTTATTATAAGAATGGTTACAGTAACGTTTTTTTCAGGGAAACGAGTCAGAGATGTCTCCGTGGGAAGAGAAAATGCAAAGGATGGATTGGCATGAGATGGATGTCATCGGGTTCTTCTTCTAATTGAAAATGAATATTTTGTATTTTATAAACGTATTTTTTCTGTTCTCTTTTAAAGCTTCCTTGTCATTTCACATTTCCAGATGAGCTACGCGATTTTCGGACTGAAACCTTGATTTTTAATTTTTTAAACACAAAAATTTGCATTTCCCATCAAAAACTACCCCAGAAACGAAGAAAAACGGGAAATTCCATGCTGGCCGAGTTTTGGAATTTTCTAGGCCATTAGCTGTTTTTGATGGTTTCCACGCCAGTTTTCAGTAGACTTTTATGGCAAGGTAAAGATGGTACAGTACATCAGGCAATTAATTGAAAAAATGAGTTCATCATTCCTTACAACGGAGAAATCATCATTTCTATTCCTGAGCTTCAAATTCGAATACAAGGAAAATGGTGAAACCCATACGTAGCGTTCAAAACTGGTCGTAGGTTCTACATCGATCCGACAGAATGTGGAAACTCGATTTGCCAATCATAGTTGTGCCAAACATGATTGCGAAGATATGGATGGCCAACAATCGAAAGGAAGGATTCAAAGTGATTGGGTTCGTCGCTAACAAGGATATCAGAAAGGGTGCTGAACTCACCATCAACTACGGATATAATTATGATCCGTGAGTTGGTTTTTTTGTCTTAAGCAGCTGACTGGGGCGCCTTCGGCGCGATTCAACCTAGTTTTTACTTGTTCGTCGCTTCCCTCCTTACTAATATCCTGAAGGTCACGAATTTATTTAATTTATATTTAATTTTCAAGTTATAGAAAACTGTGAAAAAAGTGAGGAGCGTAGGGACGAACCAGTAATAAACTAGATAAAAATCGCGCCCAAGGCGCGCCAGCCAGCTGTTCAATGGCTGGAATGATTAAAGCCACGTTGTTTTTCAGGGAAACGAGTCAGAGATGACTCCGTAGGAAGAGAAAACGCAAAGAATGGATTGGCATGCCAGGTGTTATTGATGAAGACGACGAACGTCTGAATGATGAAAACGATGAAGGCATTCCTAGGATTTTACTTCAACAGACAGCATCGGATTTCCTTAAATTCCATTTTTTATTAACGTATTTGCTCTGCAAGATTTACATGATTTATCTCATTTCTATTATATCAATAAAATTTTGTAAACCAAGATTTTGACATCAAAATTTCAGGATAAATTGAGAATAGCATATCGAAGCCATTTTATCTGGTTTCTTGTAATAGATATCACAAAAAGGTCAACTGATAAAATGTTGCTGATAATAAGATGAGCATTTTATTTGTTGACACTTTTTTGATAGCTCTGCTGGAAATCTAGATAAATTGACTTAAAATTGGGAGCAAACATCGAGCTGAAAAACAGCAGAAGCCAATAGATTCTAACCCATTTATCGTATTTCCTCTAATAGAAGCCCGTGGGCTTCTATTTTTCAACTTCTTTCTCAGGGTGAGCTTCTATTAGAGGTGGACTTCAATTAGAGGGTGGGCTTCTATTTTTCAATGATTAATTTTCAAAAAAAATTTTGTTCAAAAAAATCAGAAATTCGACAATTCGGAAGTTAAGAATTCTGAATTTCGGTGTTTTTTTAATTCGAAGTTTTCATTCTGCAATTCTAAACCACAAAATTACGAATTTATAAAATTCTGAGATTCCAGAATCTCTAAATTCAAAATTCAGGAATTCTGTAGATCAAAAATTTAGAAATTTTCGAGTTCTTAAAGGGGGACTCCGACCAAAAATTTTTATTGCATTAAAATGTGTTAAAAGTTGTCTATTTTCCGAATACTATTGCGAAAAAATTCAAAAAAAATCCGAAATTCCCAAAAAACGGCGTTGAAAAGGAAGAAAATTCAAAAAAAGGTGCAGCCGGGGGACGAGGATTTTCAGTGAGAAACCTAGGCCACGGCAGCGGGCGCCTTTCCTAAGTGGCAAATTTTCCGGATTTTTTTTCTATTTCATGCCCGGCAGGTAA